ACTAGTGAAGCAAATTGTTAAAAAAAAATAATTTTTAAATAGCCATAAGAAATCACTAATTACAACTGTGTAATGAAAAAAAACAAAAAAACATTTTCTGCAGATTGCATAATAATCTTTAACAAGCCTTTTGTTGCTACAATAAAGAAACAGATTTTTGCAGAGTCTAAAATCATATTATATGATTTAACCTGCACTTTAGTGAGAACTGGAAGTGTATAAAAAAATAAATATATTTATTTACACGTGATTAGCACAGTTGTTTACTGTGTAAAAAGAAGGGCATAGTACAATCCACATTCTTTCCAGATATGCTTAAACACAGCAAAGCAAACAATAATGTGCGCAAATAAACTAGTCAGCTGAATGCAGTGCACTCACTACACTAGACAAACAACCTACCAGCCATGTCTTCATTTACACTTTGTATTGCTCTGGTAGAACAAATTGTTCTCACTATTGTCAAATCCTTAAAGAGGAACTGTTATTTCTACAGATTGAGCAGAACCGAAAGGCCAATTAAAAGTTAGCTGTCAGTTGTGCTTAAAGGACCACTATATTGCCAGGAAAACAAACTTGTTTTCCTGGCACTATAGTGCCCTGAGGGTGCCGCCACCCTCAGGGTACAACTCCCGCCGGGCTGAAGTTGGAGGAAGGGGGTTAAACACTCACCTTTCTCCAGCGCTGGGCTACCTCGGCGCTGGGGACTCGCCTCCTCCTTCCGATGTCATCGGCTGAATGCGCATGCGCGGAAAAAGCCGCGTGCGCATTCAGCCAGTCCAAAGGAAAGCATTCTCAATGAGACAGCCACTAGAGGCTGGATTAACTCATATGTAAACATAGCAGTTTCTCTGAAACTGCTATGTTTAAAGCAGGCAGGGTTAATCCTAGATGGACCTGGCACCCAGACCACTTCATTGAGCTGAAGTGGTCTGGGTGCCTATAGAGGTCCTTTAAAGTTTTGTTTTTTTAATTCATTTTCTTTCTTCATTCTTTAAGTTACATACTTTGATGGCCAAGGCTGGGCATAGTATGTGAGTAAGTCAATTCTCACAATGTTGTACAATGCACACATAAGTACTATGAGATGGAATTCCTCACATTCATGCGCTCGTATGGAATTACTCTGTGAAATGCCGGGTGTGCATGAGTGCACATGAACCCACGTAAGTGCATTGGAGGTAAGTATGTTTGCTACTTACCTCTGCTGCTCTATTGATCTTAGTAAATACTGTAACGCTGAAATTTAACCCTGGTGCATATGCTATAGTTTGCAGTGACAAGTAACTTTTAAGGACTAGCTAGTAGTATAGGACTTTAAGGCATTATAAATATAAATGTATAAATACATACACTTCCAGTCTTAGCTCAGAGCTGAGAGCTTCCATCTGCAGGGATAAGCGAAGAGTGGCATCCAGCAGATTCCAGATAAGAAGTCCAACTGTTACCAGAAGGTTTGACTGGTTTCAGTGGAGGAGCACTAGGGCACTTGTGGCACCATACCCACCTTTAATATTGTGTGAAACTGTTACAATATCCAAAATGGCTGCCAAACAATGTAACCTAGGTGACCAAGAATAAGAACATTAATGAAGGTGAATCTACGTTACAGCATAACCTCACACAGCAGTTTGTACATACATGTAAGAATAATTTTACATTGTAAGGAAATGGTCACCAAAACAAAGATGGCTGCTAGACCATGTGACCCAAGACATGTTTGTTACAAATAAATACATAGATCTCTACCAATGCACCCAATTTCACAGGTTTATGTAGGTATTTGAAGAAAGTGGCTTAAAGGGACACTATGGGCACCAAAACAACTTTAGCTTAATAAAGCAGTTTTAGTGTATAGATTATGCCCCTGTGGTCTCACTGCTCAATTCTATGCCATTTAGGAGTTAAATCACTTTGTTTATACAGGTCTAGCCACACCTCCCTGCATGTAACTTGCACAATCTTCCTAAACACTTCCTGTAAAGGAACCTAGATATTTTAGGTTACTGTATTGACACAGTCTGTTTAATCTAGCATTTCTTAGCTTCTACTCTGTTAATAGCCCCCTAAACACTACAAGGATCTCATATGTATAATTGAAGTTCAATTGAAGAGCAGGTGATAAAAACTTATAATGCAAGTTAATGTCTGATTAAAAATTATACCATTTTTTTCATGCAGTTTTAGTGAGTCACAGACAGGGCCAGTGGCATACACACAACCCATTGGGCCCAGGTGCAAAAACTGATCTGTGGCGACCGCGGTATGTACGCCAGTGCATGCAGATACACATACACTTAAAGGACGACTACAGACACCCAGATCACATCAGCTCAATTAAGTGGTCTGGGTGCCAGGACCCTCTAGTTTTAACCCTGCAGCTAAAAACATAGCAGTTTCAGAGAAACTGCTATGTTTCACTGAGGGTTAATCCAGCCTCTAGTGGCTGTCTCATTGACAGCCGATAGAGGAGCTTCCGCGATTCTCACTGTGAAAATCACAGTGAGAAGACGCTGAACGTCCATAGGAAAGCATTGAGTAACGCTTTCCTATGGGCGGTTTGAATGCGCGCGTGGCTCTTGCCAGGCATGCGCATTCGGAGCTGAGAGGCGGATCGGGGCGGAGAGATACCCAGCGCCAAGGCAGTCCGGCGCTGGAGAAAGGTAAGTGCTTAAGACACACACACTCTCACGAACAGACGCATACACACTAGCTAACAGACACACACACTCTCACGAACAGACGCATACACACTAGCTAACAGACACACACATTTACTGACAGACTGAGTGTGTACTCAGTGACAGACATACATACACACTCACTGACAGACAGATAGACACATACACACAAAACACACTCACTAACAGATGCACACAAACTAACACACTCAGTAACAGACACACACAGTAACACACTCACTGACACACTCTAACACTAACACACACAAACTCTATTCCCTGTGGTCTAGTGGTATCACCGGGCGGGCGGGCAGGCAGGCAGGCAGGCAGGCGCGCGAGGGAGCACTTTCTCCTGAGTGCTTCCTCTTCAGCTCCCTCGCGCACCGCACTGATACTGGAGCTGGAAGATGACATCATCTTCCGGCGCCGGCATCCCTACGCGCCCGACAGCCTGCCTGCCCGCCGGTGATACCAGGGCCAACCTCGGAGGGCCTTGAGGTGGCCAGCTCCTGGGCCCCCCAGGAGAAGAGGCTGGTCACAGTGGGTACATACCGGGTCGCAGTTCTAGCCACTGGACAGGGGAGGTGTGGCTAGAACTGCATGGACAGAAACAAGTCTTTTAATGCCTAAATGACACAAACTGTGTTATTGACGTCATTGTGCTATGAGAGGTCAAAATCAGGAGTGCTTTAGCTTTGCAGCAGCATGTCTTACAGGTGGACTTTATCCCACTTATGACGTTAGCCATATTTGAGTTGAATCTCTTCGGTTTTTAATGTGAACATATGTATGTTTTGTAAATAAAGGTTTTTTTTCTTACATGCAGTTTATTAGACTGGGGGATTAATGCAGCAGGAGGTTACTCAAGCAGAGGCTATATATAACAGAGCAGGGATTAACTGCTCAAAGCAAAGTTTGCATCCAACATTGGCAGGGCTATAAGTGATAATTCAAAGTGAATTCAAAGTAAAATTTCGTATTTAAGGGGTAAATACTGAAAGAATTCTCGAAGTCTGCTCTGCTTTCAGTTCAGCAACTCATGCCTTAAAGCTGTAATTTACATTGAATTCTTAGGTAAGTAAATAATCTTGTTGATTGTGAATATGAAATTTAAAGCAGCAAAGAGCATTATAGTGTTTGCTTTTCTCTTTCACATGTTGGATAATGCAGGTTGTTCACAATAAAGGATGATTATGGGGAGTAATTATATCTTGGAGTTTAGTGTGGAGAGTCACACTATATGTGTTTTCTACATAGTATCTAGTTTGCAATTTAATAAGTGATCCACTTTGATCTTTTTCCTCATTATTCCAGTGATCATTAAATTATGTCTTCTTACCAAAATACCTGGGTTGTAAAGCAGATTACCCAACATATAATAAATAAATATATAATTTAATTCTAAGTGTATTTTGATATTTATATAATAAATATATTATTATGCATTTATTTATTTATATTTACATAATTATGTGATTTTATTTATTATATATTGAGGCACCTGCATGACAGCCCAGGCAGAAAGTCCAGAGAATCTAATGTGCAAGCCCTATTTTTGACCCTGTTACCCATTTTGAACACCCTACTTATGTAAATGATATGCCACCATGGGGGTAATTCTCATTCCTGGGTTGCCATACGTTCTGAAAGGCACATAGGTCCAACAAACCAATCTGGCAGTGGCACATTACAATGTGGAAAACCTGAAAAGGGGAAAGCACTATATTTGACCCTGTAACTTTCCAAAACACCATATAACCTGTACATGGGACCTGTACATGGGGGGCACTGTTGTACCCGTGAGACATCGCTGAATACAATGATGTGTATTGTATTGCGGTAACAGCTGACAGTATTATGACATTCACAGTTAAAACGCCATGCAGTACTTGGAAAATATAATTTCTTAATTTCTCACACTATTCTATTCATATTAAATTGTTTCATATCTTAATATTTTATGTGAAATTAAAGCTCTGTTTCTCTTGAACAAAATGATATGTGTGGGTGCACTTAATATGAAAGAGGTGAATTGTGGTTGAGCATACAGTTTGTTCAGTAGCCTCCGTCCTTTAAGGGGTTAATGGCTATTGAGGCCTTTGTCCTGTGTATAGTTAACCCCTTATTACCAGCTGTAAATGCAGGTTAGCTCCATGTATTAGCTGGAGCCCAGCAGCCAGTAACTGCAGGAATGCCCCAGTGTCCATCACCTGCGTGACGTCACCAACCCACGCCCACCGGCTCCTCCTGCTCTGCCCGCTGCCATGCAGTCACAGCGACGCGGAGAGACCGCTGACAGCATGATGGGAGGGGGCGGGGCTATGACGCCAGCAGGCGAGGCTCCTCCCCCTCCACTCTGGAACGGAGCTCCCGAAGGTCCACAAACAGACGGGTTGCCGGTGGTGAGAGTCTACGGCCGGCGCTGGTAGGAGGCTGAGCCCGACACGTCCAACGGGGAGCACAGCGCCGAGTTCATTCATTCATCCATCCATCCCGCTGGTCCCGCACAGCCCCAGCCGGAGCGGCCGCTTCCTTCCCCATCACTGTGTAAGGGGTGAGAGGTCACAGGGGAGCAGGAGGAGGGGGGGTGTATATTGATGTATGTCTCCGGGCTGGGAGTACTTAGTGTAGCTAGCTAGCTAGGTAGGTTGGCTGGCTGTATTTCTGATTCAGATTCTGCCTGCTAGACCGTTCGAGCAGCGCAAGGCCTTCATGCTGACGTTAGACTACAATTCCCGGTATCCTGAGAGCTGGGGATGATGGGGATTATAGTCTAACAAAAACACAATGGACAGAAGGGTTCCTTGTTTTAGGCTGGAGTTATGGGGTTGCTGTTCCATGTTTATTTACCCCAGGTTTTAGCAATGTGAGCAGAATCTGAAATGAAAGAGTAGCTGTGAATGGAGAGTGTCTGCTGTGTCTCTAGGAGGAAGAAATGTGATAACTAACAATTAAGGAGCAAAAAGTGTTTAAAATAAGCCCAAACACACCATTGGTTTCCATGGTGATTACTTCACTTTCAGCACTTTAATCCTGAATTACATTTTTAGACCTATATCCAAGTGTGTGTGCATTGCAATTGTGTGTTTGTATGATTTAATTTATTTCTCTTTAAAAAAAAAAAAAAAAAAGGTTTATTTGGTGGGCAGTGTGCCCTCATATTAAAGTTAGCAGTGCTACCTGTTTGCCATGTGTTAGTCACACAGTACAAAGTCTCATGCCCCTAGAGTCAGGAGAGACACTTAGGGAAGCAAGTCACTGGCATTGTTTTAGAATTGCACAAGGGTAATTTAGATCCGCTATAGTACTTCCCATTTATTGTGCTGTTATTAGTCATCACTCATTAAAGTCTGTGCATGTGATCAGAGTTAAGTATCTGTACTGCAGGCTGCTACTGCCTACCAGGTATGAAATTATTGCATTTTAATTATACTTGAATGAGCACAGAATGTTTGTTTGTAAACTTTAACATTTTTTGAATGCTATGAAATAATTCAATTTCTCCTGCTGAAATTTGAAATGCTTCATATAATTATAGTGTTGTTCAGATTTTCTCTAATC